ATCTGGGGAATTCTGGGAGTTGAGGTCCACCCATCTTCAAGCGGCCAAGGTTGAGAAACCCTGTTATAAACCACTTAGAGTTCAGGTGGATTCCATCTATCAATCCATAAAACAGACCCTGTGAATCAGGGGCCTCAATTCTGTCTTCAGCCTGAATGGAGTAAACCCTAACCCTTTCCCTAAACTTTGGTATATGTTTGGACTACGGCATAGCGCCCGTTGTCCTGAGCCAGCCCAAGCACGCTCAGAAGAGCAGAAGGCTGGGGACGTTTGCGCAGAAGGACCGCAGAAACCAAACCAATCTGTGATCTGCCTCTTCCCTGTGCTGAAAGAGAAACAGCGCCTTTCTTCTCACTTCCCTCTGAGATTCTCCAGGCGCCTCTGAATCCCCGTGGACCCTTTATTGCCAATCACCGCTGCTTCTGCCTATGGGGCGGCAGCCGTGCCAGTGGCAATCTTGGCATCGCGGGCATCAGCTCGGGTTGCCCGCAGAGCCTCCCCATTGGCCACTGACGTTCTCCATGCAGTGGTGGGCGAGGGTCCCGGGCGTCTCCTGCATGCCCCTTCCTCTCTGGTTTCTTCTGGGGACACGGGTGGCACGTTCCCTCTCTTCCCCTAGTGTGAGATGGGTGCCTCCCCCCCCCCGCTCTTTTCTGCATTTGTTTTGAATTGTGAAACTGGGTGCCACAGAAACGAGGAGGCCGGGGCAGGGTTAAAATCCAGAGTTTAACAAGGCCCTCAGCGGGGTGGGGGTGGACTTCCAGAGGGGGAGAAGGTGGGCGAGGAAGCTGTTTGCTGGCTTGAATCTCAAGAGTAGGAGGAGGGACTGGGAGCCAGGCACAGCTGGGGAGCATGGGTTCGGTTGCACACAGAGGCGCGTGGAGCTGAGGTAGCAGCCTCCTGAGTCCCACCGTCCTTGGGTTGCATTTTAGGGCCGGTGTGGCCCACCCGGTGACCCTTAGCTGTCGCCCAGCCTGTGCCTCTTCCCCGCAGGTGGAGGTGTTCAACATCCTCTTTGTGACCAGTGAAAATGGCAGCAAAAACACCTACCTGGTGCACTGTGAGGCTTGTGCCCGGAAGCGAAGTTCCTCCCTGCACGGAGTCGTGGTGCTCGAGCAGTATAAGACCGAAGAACTGATCAGCATCTATGACAGCTTCGCCCTGGTGAGTGCCTGTGGGGGGCCCTCGGCCGCTCTGCCAGCCCTCCTCGCCTGTGGTGGATCGTGGCGGAGGGAGGACTTCCATCCACCCTCCTGCTTCTGAAAACTGAATCGCTCCCTCGGAGGCGAGCGCTCTTCCAGATGGGGCAGAGCCATTCGGCCAACTCAGCTGCCCCTTGTGGATGGCCGGATGGCCAGCCGGTCGAGGTCCTCCCTGCCTGCAGCTTTGGGGGCAGGATTCGATCAGAGCGGAGAAGCGGAAAGAGGGTCGGGAGGTGGTCCCTGATTCACACACGGCCCCCCTTCTCTTTTTTGGCAGGCTGCGTCGCCTAGTTCAAGATGAGCCATATCACGCCCGGGCGCAGATGTCTGGGCTAATCTTTCTGTGCTAGTTTCTCCCACTCCCACTGTGAGTGTTGGGGCGGAAGCTGCTGTACCCCCTTCCTCCCTCAAGAAGGAGCCGAGTGTCCGACCCCATCCATCGCCTCTCACGCCCGTCCTGAGCTGGAGCAACACGGAACCGGCACAGCCTGTTTCCCCGACGGACCCTTTTTAATTTATTCTTCAAAACGAACCTCCTTTTTTTCCCCCCCCTGGGTGGTGCTGATTTTTTTAATGAAAAGAGAAAAAAGAAGAAAAAAAATCCTGAATTAAAAAGGGTGAAGAACAGTGGAGTTTGATCGAAACGGGGAACTCCTTTCCTAGCGGGATCGGGAACTGTGTCCCTGTTCGCCTCGAACTTCGGCGTGCCTGACTTCCCCTTGGACAAGCATCGTGCGCTCGGAGGGAAGAGAGAAGACGGGAGCGCAGCCCTTCACTGAGCATTAAGTTCTTCTCGTGCTTTCTCCCCACGGCGGAGAGCAGATTTGCGGAACAGAGACAGCGGGTGGTTCATCTGGGCTGCCTGGTGCGGTTTTTCGTTTAATTACATTTTTCTTGTTGGAAATTTTAAGAAAAAGGTTTGGAAAACAAAAAACACAAGCAAGCAAGCAAAAAAAAAAAAAATTAAAAAAAAAAGTTTGAAAAAAAAAAAAAAAAACAAGAAAGAAAAAAAAAAAAAAAAACAAGAAAGAAAAAAAAAAAAAAAAACAAGAAAGAAAAAAAAAAAAAAAAACAAGAAAGAAAAAAAAAAAAAAAAACAAGAAAGAAAAAAAAAAAAAAAAACAAGAAAGAAAAAAAAAAAAAAAAACAAGAAAGAAAAAAAAAAAAAAAAACAAGAAAGAAAAAAAAAAAAAAAAACAAGAAAGAAAAAAAAAAAAAAAAACAAGAAAGAAAAAAAAAAAAAAAAACAAGAAAGAAAAAAAAAAAAAAATTAATACGGGTTTCTTAACACAGGACTTTTATGGGTTCAGTTCTCTCTGGGTGAACTTCTTGTTGGGCGGGGGGAGAGAGTGTACATTGATTTATATATATTGGCTGGGTGGGAATGGGGGCAATTCGCGTGTGTGGTTTTTAATTATTCTGATGGACATTTGATTTCTTACATCCTTTTATATATTATATATATAAATATAAGGAAAAAAATCTGGTTTGTATTAGAAACTGCTTTTAAAAACAAAACACAAAACAGACAAAAAATATATATATACAAGTACAGTCGAAATGTTTGTGCAAGGCACAGGAGAATTAACTGTGCAACGCATTTGGATAGTGAAAATACAACCCTGTGCAGAGGGTGTGGTGCTCGCCCCAAATCAGACACACGGGTAGATGGGAGGAATTTTTGGCAAAATGGGGGGGGGCATTCTCATTGCTGTCCTAGCTCTTTTACAATTGTTAGGTGTAACGTAACAATTCTTACTCCTAACTCTTATTCTCCTTAACTACTCAATGCCCTTAACTCTGCCCCAAAATACTCCATCTTTAGCTAATGTGATTATTTAAAGCTGATGGTGTTTTCCTTGCTGAATTCACTGGCCTACCTTCTTATAGTTTTAAAAGTTCTACAGTTCTCACTCCCAGTTCATTTAAAAAACAAGAATGTCTCAGATTTGGGGTAATTTCTCTCTCCTCTTTTTGTTTTTAATTTTTACCTCCATGTGTCAGAATTGTTTTACAATTTATAAATGTTCTCTCTTTTTAATTTATATGTCTTTTTTGGTAATGATTTCTCTATTTATTGGTCCTTTATGGGGGTTTGATCCAGCTTTTTTTTTTTTTTTAAGAAAAATCTTTTAAAAATGTTGTATCTGTTTTGTTTTTTAAGACATGTCTCTTTTTTTTGTTGTTCCTTTTTAGCTTCTCTCTGGAATTGTTATTGAATTTCTAAATGTTTTATTTTT